CCTGATGGATCGCAGGGTGAGGGCTAGGGCCATTCCCCCCAGAAATGTCCAGGAACTTGCAAGTGCCTTGGTGGAAGAATGGGGTAACATCTCACTGCAAGAACTGACAAATCTGCTCCAGTCCATGAGGAGCAGATGCACTGCAGTACTTCAAGCAGCTGGTGGCCACACCACTTTTGATTTTGAGCCTCCCCTCATTCAGGGACACATTATTCTATTTTTGTTAGTCACATGTCTGTGAAACATTTATGTCTTATGGTGTTGACTCTTTTAGTGTTCATACAAATATTTACACACATTAGGGGTGGAGCCGAACCCGAATACGGTATTCGGAAAGGCACAAATAACGAATACTTATTTCGAACAAATACTTATTACAACTATTTGTATTCGGGAACAAGAAAAACTTTATATCAAAAAGCTGCGTTTCCTCATGAGACCGCAGTGCGTGAGTGACGTTCAGGAAGAGGTGACTGACAGGCTGCTCCACACAGCAACAGAGAGGGCTCGGCTGAGCGAAAAAACACTTAACTGCATCACTATTTTTGTACCTTAAATGGGTTCTGGAGGCAGTTTATAACTTTCGGGAAGCGGAGTTTGATCGAGAGATTATTCCATGTTCGCACGTCAGAGGCGCCCGCGCGGATGTGCAGTTGCCGCAGCACAGACTATGAGTGAGCCAGACGCTCAATGTGCTAGCTGTGCAGCAGCTGCAGCTGCAAATGTGTTTTACATGAAAGCTTCAGTAAATCGAGGAAAAGGAGTTTTTCCTTTTCAGTAAATCGAGGAAAAGGAAGCTTTTATGTAAAACGCATTTGCAGCTGCACAGCTAGCACCATCACATCCAATGGCGCGGGTGCCTCTGACGTGCGACCAATGAGCTAGCCCTACGTCATTAAACGTCAGAACCCGACAAGGGGGCGTGGCCTTACTCGAATACGAATACAAATACAAATACTTTTCCCCCCTCAACAAATACAAATACAGATACAAATACCGGCTGCTTTGCACACCCCTAACACACATTAAAGTAACACCAGGTAACTTTTCAACCTTCATAATATATTTCCAAGTCTCTTGTGATGGTACATCGACTTACAATAGGTTGAATGACACGTCTGCCATAGCCTGACGGGGTCTGTAGCGTTTTTAATCGTACTTTTAAACTTCGGGTTTCGGGTAGTAACCGGCGAACAAAGAGAACTACAAAATTCGACTGCTTTACGGCATATACGTCACTTCCACCACCACCCCCACTTCCTTAAAATCGGACGTGCGAGCCAAATGTAATAGTCATGGCAAAAGCAGCACAGAAAAACAAGAAAGCAAAGGTTTTATCGGAGCAAAGCAAAAAGAGAAAAAGAGAAAGTGATCACGTTAAAGGCAGAACGAGGATTAACATTGGGCCAGCCTTTTCTCGCTGGCGTGAGCTGAAGGAGGAGGAGGGGTGCCCGACCGATGCGGACTTGGCAAAAAAAAATCAAAAATCAAATGAAAGCCTGTGTCTAAACGGCGTGCACAAGTTTGGTAGGGGCTACATTCTTGCAAGTAAATATATAAGATGTACAAAATCATATTTTAGGATACCTAACATGTCTGTGATATTTGTTTATTTGTCTTGCCTCAAGCTATAATGCAAATCGATTTGTAAAATTTGCAGATTAATTTATGGTAGCTTGATATTATAATATTGACGATATATGGTTATCTACCACTCAAACATTGCATTGAAGTATCATATAGATCCAGTAAAACGGTAACCAATAGACTAGGCTACTATAATGACGCTGGCTTGTAAACGTGATCATCGCGATCATTTGTCGTTAGAAAAAAAATAAAACCCATGAAATTATATTCATATGACATGCTGAAATATATGCCACTGTACCTGGGATGAAGACATTTCAGACAAGACGCAAGCAGAACACCAGCATGTGACCTCCTCCTACAGTGTTCAGGGCTATCATGGTTGTCAACAATTGCACGTGCATGTAGGATGACAGAGTTTACGACAGTAGTAGAAGTCTAGAGGACAATACTGTTTCCCAACTGTAGGGGGACCCCACCCCGAGAGCAAAAGTAACCTGGTGTTACTTTAAGTTTACTGAAAGTAAACAGTTGAAAGTCAGAGGACGTTTCTTTTTTTGCTGAGTTTCTTTATTATTTGTTGAACATCAATAAAAATTATAACCTGACATTTTTTGGAATTCCAAATTTAGGGAACAGACAGTCTCTATATGATGATATCTAGTGGCGCTTTTCCATTACCAGTACCAGCTCAACTCGACTCGACACGCCTCGCTTTTCGCTCCGTTTTCCATTGCAGATAGTACCTCCACAATAGTACCTGGTCGTCATAGCGGCGCCGCAGGAAACTGCCATGACGTAATCTTCAACGCGACAAACACCCGCTACCCACACACACACAGGACAATGGAGGACATCGAGGGTATGCTGTTTTTGATTCTCGGGATGTGGCTGTTTATCACTGCAACACGACAAATGTTGTTTCAGGAGAGGCTGAGGACAGCAAAACGAAACACGGCAGAAAAAAACAGGAGAGTTTGGCGCGTGCAATGATGACGCAGTGAATAGTGACGATTCTCTCTGACCAATCAGCAGTCTGCCGTGTTTACACGTGACATTTTAGTACCGCCTCAGCTCGCTCAGAACCTCGCCGGAGGTGGTACGAAAAAAAGTACCCGAAAGCTGGTACAGGTACAACTTTTACACAGTGGAAAACCAAACAAAGGCGAGTCGAGTCGAGTCGAGCCGAGGCGAGCTGGTACTGTGTAGTGGAAAAGCGCCATAGGTGAAAGAGGATCTATATGATGGGATTTATCCGACCTTGGGGACGCGAGGCCGGTAGCAGATGGTCGGTTTCGCCAGTCTGTCTGCCTCCTGACCTGGTGCCAGATTTGTCATGTTTTAGCTCTAAGACTATGAGCCAAATTACTAGAGAGAAGAGCAGCACCAGGCCAGGAGGGATGAATACCATCTCTTTTCAACAGGTCAGGCTTGCCCCAAAAACTTTTCAGAACAGAACATCATTAGTGCCGACATTGGTTAGCATTAGTCAGCACTTCAGCATTGTCAAGTGCTCTGGCTCCCGGCAAACATGTGACAATGGTGACTGGTGTCTCTATTTTCACTTTGAGTTCTGTTGATAGTGCCCTGGTAATTGGTGATTTGATCACTCTCAGTGGGTGTTTCACTGAGCGGGGTAAATCGATTTATGGTAATCGGACAAGTAATCGGTAAAGCGATCTCTCACTTTCACCCATTTCGCCTGCAGCACGGGCTCTACTTCAGCCGGAACCGAATCAAGTGAAGAGTTCACTATGCTAGGCGCATCCAGAATAGTATCTAAAGATCTAGTATTCTTACTATCCTCAATTAAAGTTTGGATGTGTGTCTCTAGCTTTGAAGTCTTCTCTGTCAGCCTGACTTTGCATTTATCACATATAAATCCTATATGGCCATCGGAGAAGGCTATATACTAAACGTATGACATGTGACACAGGTGACAATAAAAGGACAAGACATCACTCACTGTGTTTGTTGACTGATTCTTACTCACCTGGGCTTTTTATGAACTCAAAAGGCGCAGACGCACAAGATAAAATAAATAACCGAGCACATGGACGGCGCATTAACAGGCTATCGAGTTACTAGCGTGTTGTGCTAACAATAACGGAAGCTAGCGATATAAGGTTAATCTGAGATGTTGGGTAAGCTGTATTTATTAGTATAAACAACTAGAAATGAAAGTAAATGATGGTTCAAATCATAAAGAGCTAATACGATGCTTAGACTGAGTTCACAGCCTCGAAGCAAACAAACACACAGCGAGGTAAACAGCAGCAATCGATCAGGAGTCAATGGGGCAACCAATTTGTCTAAAAAAAGTAAAAATTAGCACAGGAACCATGTTATTTCTTTTAATTTTATTATAAATTTGTTTTTTCGTCACTCAATATGCTTTTATGTCACTTAGCCAGCAACAGAGAAACTGGTAACCAGGCAACAGACGAATGACCAATCCTGAGAGGCGATGTCACCACACACATTCTTCTATCACGCTTCACGGTTAGCCCAGTGTGCTGAGAGTTCAGGGCCGAGAACGGTCTGTAATTGTGCCGTGCCGTACCAGGCTCAAGTGGAAACACAAGTGGAGCCTTTTCCAAAGCTGAAAAAGCAGCTTTTGTTTCTCGGTACATAAAGATGAACTACTTACTAGGGCTGCACGATATTTGAAAAAAAAAATGGCATTGTGATATTTTATTTTTCTGCGATATTTCACCAGATTAAAGTGAATTGTTCAAATGAGTCACTCGTTGGAGAATCAGATGTGTCATTAGTGGATGTGTAGCCTACGGCGAGCGTTGTGTAAAATATCTCGGCAGTTTAGGACATCGCACAAGATTTGTCTCAACATAGAAAACATTTAGTCGCTGGAAAGTTTTTTTTCATTTATTGAAATTGTGGTTTATGTCAGCTGAATGTGCGGAACGCTTTATAGATATACATGAGGCAAAGTTTTTTTGTTGTTTTTTTGCGCAATTCACACCCCACAGTAATTCAGGAGAGAATGCTCCATATGAACCTTCAGTCTTTCGAACCTTTGAACATTGCTTCAATTGATGTTGATTAATATGTGTGATCGTGAGGGAGAGAGAGCAAGACAGCGCTCGTGTTGTTTAAAGACGATGAGAGCGCACGTGCAGCCGGGGCAGTCATTCTATTCTACACAACTCACGATCAAAAAGGCTTTAGTTTGGTGGGACAAAAAATTGATTTGGCGGCCGACAAAAAAATTAAATGTTTCAATAAACGACTGTGTTACACTTGTAAGGTTTTTCAGAGTTTCAGAGATGCATTCTGACTTGATTTTTAAATATCCGTGGGCGTCAAGCTCAGAGAGAAAGAGCACTGAACTTTGCGTAGCTACACTTCTTGCGCTTGATTTTTAAACTGACAGGACTTAAAAACACATGAAAATTAAATAACTTTCACGATATGATGGTTAAACTTTGCAATTGATCTTTGGATCACAAGTGCTCCGGGCCAGGAAGCAGCTGACCCGTACGGATCATGAATCACGGATCAATTATGATACCTATTGCACATCTTGCGATATGACTATCGTGGATGCACACATAATCGATGCTGAAATTAATTATCGATATTGTTATCGATGCTGAAATTATATATTGTGCAGCCCTACTACTTACCGTGATCTCAGACTGTGTTGATGTGGTTTCTCCACTGTATGGATCTTCATGTGGTGCTTCAGGTGATTTTTAAAAGAGAAACCCTTCCCACACTGATCACACTTGTAAGGTTTTTCTCCAGTGTGGATCCTCTCATGTGTTTTCAGAGTTGATGGCTGACTGAATCTCTTGTCGCAGTGTGAAAACGTGTAAGGTTTTTCTCCAGTGTGGATCCTCTCATGTGTTTTTAGATCTGCTGACAGACTGAATCTCTTGTCACAGTGTGAACACTTGTAAGGCTTTTCTCCAGTGTGAATTCTCTGGTGTCGTTTTAAATCACTCCCTGTAGTAAAAGTCTTCTCACACTCAAAGCACACGTAATCTCTCACACCAGTGTGAATTCTCTGATGTACTTGTAAACTACACCGCAGTGAAAAACTCTTTCCACACAAAGAACATGAATGTGGCTTCTCCTTTGTATGAACTCTCAGGTGTTTCTTCAGATCTGATGACCCAAGAAAGGTTTTGTCGCACTGTTCACACATGAATGGCTTCTCTCCGGTGTGAATTCTGATGTGAACATTAAGATCATGTTTGAATGTGAAACTGTTTCCACACTGAGTGCAGGTGAAAGATTTATTGGCTCTTCTTTTCTTTAAAAATGTTTTTTTAGTCTTTGAGCGACTCAAGGGTTTTCCTCCAGGTTGGACATGATGTTCCTCCTCCACTTCACTCAGTTCTTCACTCTCCTCCTCCACTTCACTCAGTTCTTCCCTCTCCTCCTTCACTTCACTCAGTTCTTCTCTCTCCTCCTTCACTTCACTCAGTTCTTCTCTCTCCTCCTCCACTTCACTCAGTTCTTCTCTCTCCTCCTTCACTTCACTCAGTTCTTCTCTCTCCTCCTTCATTTCATACAGTTCTTCTCTCTCCTCCTCCACTTCACTCAGTTCTTCTCTCTCCTCCTTCACTTCACTCAGTTCTTCTCTCTCCTCCTTCATTTCATACAGTTCTTCTCTCTCCTCCTCCACTTCACTCAGTTCTTCACTCTCCTCCTTCACTTCACTCAGTTCTTCTCTCTCCTCCTCCACTTCACTCAGTTCTTCTCTCTCCTCCTTCACTTCACTCAGTTCTTCTCTCTCCTCCTCCACTTCACTCAGTTCTTCTCTCTCCTCCTTCACTTCACTCAGTTCTTCTCTCTCCTCCTTCATTTCATACAGTTCTTCTCTCTCCTCCTCCACTTCACTCAGTTCTTCTCTCTCCTCCTTCACTTCACTCAGTTCTTCTCTCTCCTCCTTCATTTCATACAGTTCTTCTCTCTCCTCCTCCACTTCACTCAGTTCTTCTCTCTCCTCCTTCACTTCACTCAGTTCTTCTCTCTCCTCCTTCACTTCACTCAGTTCTTCTCTCTCCTCCTCCACTTCACTCAGTTCTTCTCTCTCCTCCTTCACTTCACTCAGTTCTTCACTCTCCTCCTTCACTTCACTCAGTTATTCTCTCTCCTCCTCCACTTCACTCAGTTCTTCACTCTCCTCCTTCACTTCACTCAGTTCTTCTCTCTCCTCCTCCACTTCACTCAGTTCCTCTCTCTCCTCCTTCACTTCACTCAGTTCTTCTCTCTCCTCCTTCATTTCATACAGTTCTTCTCTCTCCTCCTCCACTTCACTCAGTTCTTCTCTCTCCTCCTTCACTTCACTCAGTTCTTCTCTCTCCTCCTTCATTTCATACAGTTCTTCTCTCTCCTCCTCCACTTCACTCAGTTCTTCTCTCTCCTCCTTCACTTCACTCAGTTCTTCTCTCTCCTCCTTCACTTCACTCAGTTCTTCTCTCTCCTCCTCCACTTCACTCAGTTCTTCTCTCTCCTCCTTCACTTCACTCAGTTCTTCTCTCTCCTCCTTCACTTCACTCAGTTCTTCTCTCTCCTCCTCCACTTCACTCAGTTCTTCTCTCTCCTCCTTCACTTCACTCAGTTCTTCACTCTCCTCCTTCACTTCACTCAGTTCTTCTCTCTCCTCCTCCACTTCACTCAGTTCTTCACTCTCCTCCTTCACTTCACTCAGTTCTTCTCTCTCCTCCTCCACTTCACTCAGTTCTTCTCTCTCCTCCTTCACTTCACTCAGTTCTTCTCTCTCCTCCTTCATTTCATACAGTTCTTCTCTCTCCTCCTCCACTTCACTCAGTTCTTCTCTCTCCTCCTTCACTTCACTCAGTTCTTCTCTCTCCTCCTTCATTTCATACAGTTCTTCTCTCTCCTCCTCCACTTCACTCAGTTCTTCTCTCTCCTCCTTCACTTCACTCAGTTCTTCTCTCTCCTCCTTCACTTCACTCAGTTCTTCTCTCTCCTCCTCCACTTCACTCAGTTCTTCTCTCTCCTCCTTCACTTCACTCAGTTCTTCTCTCTCCTCCTTCACTTCACTCAGTTCTTCTCTCTCCTCCTCCACTTCACTCAGTTCTTCTCTCTCCTCCTTCACTTCACTCAGTTCTTCTCTCTCCTCCTTCACTTCACTCAGTTCTTCACTCTTCTCCTCCACTTCGTGATGTTCCTCCTCCACTTCACTCAGTTCTTCTCTCTCCTCCTTCACTTCACTCAGTTCTTCTCTCTCCTCCTTCACTTCACTCAGTTCTTCTCTCTCCTCCTTCACTTCACTCAGTTCTTCTCTCTCCTCCTTCACTTCACTCAGTTCTTCTCTCTCCTCCTTCACTTCACTCAGTTCTTCTCTCTCCTCCTTCATTTCATACAGTTCTTCTCTCTCCTCCTCCACTTCACTCAGTTCTTCTCTCTCCTCCTTCACTTCACTCAGTTCTTCTCTCTCCTCCTCCACTTCACTCAGTTCTTCACTCTCCTCCTCCACTTCACTCAGTTCTTCCCTCTCCTCCTTCACTTCACTCAGTTCTTCTCTCTCCTCCTTCACTTCACTCAGTTCTTCACTCTCCTCCTCCACTTCACTCAGTTCTTCTCTCTCCTCCTTCACTTCACTCAGTTCTTCACTCTCCTCCTTCACTTCACTCAGTTCTTCACTCTCCTCCTTCACTTCACTCAGTTCTTCTCTCTTCTCCTTCACTTCTCTGAGTTCTTCTCTCTCCTCCTTCACTTCTCCGAGTTCTTCACTCTCCTCCTCCACTTCACTCTTCACTTCACTCAGTTCTTCTCTCTCCTCCTTCATTTCACTCAGTTCTTCTCTCTCCTCCTCCACTTCACTCAGTTCTTCTCTCTCCTCCTCCACTTCACTCAGTTCTTCTCTCTCCTCCTTCACTTCACTCAGTTCTTCTCTCTCCTCCTTCACTTCACTCAGTTCTTCTCTCTCCTCCTTCACTTCACTCAGTTCTTCTCTCTCCTCCTTCACTTCACTCAGTTCTTCTCTCTCCTCCTTCACTTCACTCAGTTCTTCTCTCTCCTCCTCCACTTCACTCAGTTCTTCTCTCTCCTCCTTCACTTCACTCAGTTCTTCTCTCTCCTCCTTCACTTCACTCAGTTCTTCTCTCTCCTCCTTCACTTCACTCAGTTCTTCTCTCTCCTCCTCCACTTCACTCAGTTCGTCTCTCTCCTCCTTCACTTCACTCAGTTCTTCTCTCTCCTCCTTCACTTCACTCAGTTCTTCTCTCTCCTCCTCCACTTCACTCAGTTCTTCTCTCTCCTCCTCCACTTCACTCAGTTCTTCTCTCTCCTCCTTCACTTCACTCAGTTCTTCTCTCTCCTCCTTCACTTCACTCAGTTCTTCTCTCTCCTCCTCCACTTCACTCAGTTCTTCTCTCTCCTCCTCCACTTCACTCAGTTCTTCTCTCTCCTCCTCCACTTCACTCAGTTCTTCTCTCTCCTCCTTCACTTCACTCAGTTCTTCTCTCTCCTCCTCCACTTCACTCTTCACTTCACTTAGTTCTTCTCTCTCCTCCTTCACTTCACTCAGTTCTTCTCTCTCCTCCTCCACTTCACTCAGTTCTTCTCTCTCCTCCTCCACTTCACTCAGTTCTTCTCTCTCCTCCTCCGCTTCACTCAGTTCTTCTCTCTCCTCCTTCGCTTCACTCAGTTCTTCTCTCTCCTCCTTCACTTCACTCAGTTCTTCTCTCTCCTCCTTCACTTCACTCAGTTCTTCTCTCTCCTCCTTCACTTCACTCAGTTCTTCTCTCTCCTCCTTCACTTCACTCAGTTCTTCACTCTCCTCCTTCACTTCACTCAGTTCTTCACTCTCCTCCTTCACTTCACTCAGTTCTTCCCTCTCCTCCTTCACTTCACTCAGTTCTTCTCTCTCCTTCACTTCACTCAGTTCTTCACTCTCCTCCTTCACTTCACTCAGTTCTTCACTCTCCTCCTTCACTTCACTCAGTTCTTCCCTCTCCTCCTTCACTTCACTCAGATCTTCTCTCTCCTCCTCCACTTCACTCAGTTCTTCACTCTCCTCCTCCGCTTCACTCAGTTCTTCTCTCTCCTCCTTCGCTTCACTCAGTTCTTCTCTCTCCTCCTTCACTTCACTCAGTTCTTATCTCTCCTTCACTTCACTCAGTTCTTCACTCTCCTCCTTCACTTCACTCAGTTCTTCACTCTCCTCCTTCACTTCACTCAGTTCTTCCCTCTCCTCCTTCACTTCACTCAGTTCTTCCCTCTCCTCCTTCACTTCACTCAGATCTTCACTCTCCTCCTTCACTTCACTCAGTTCTTCTCTCTCCTCCTTCACTTCACTCAGTTCTTCTCTCTCCTCCTCCACTTCACTCAGTTCTTCTCTCTCCTCCTTCACTTCACTCAGTTCTTCTCTCTCCTCCTCCACTTCACTCAGTTCTTCTCTCTCCTCCTCCACTTCACTCAGTTCTTCTCTCTCCTCCTCCGCTTCACTCAGTTCTTCTCTCTCCTCCTTCGCTTCACTCAGTTCTTCTCTCTCCTCCTTCACTTCACTCAGTTCTTCTCTCTCCTCCTTCACTTCACTCAGTTCTTCTCTCTCCTCCTTCACTTCACTCAGTTCTTCACTCTCCTCCTTCACTTCACTCAGTTCTTCACTCTCCTCCTTCACTTCACTCAGTTCTTCCCTCTCCTCCTTCACTTCACTCAGTTCTTCTCTCTCCTTCACTTCACTCAGTTCTTCACTCTCCTCCTTCACTTCACTCAGTTCTTCACTCTCCTCCTTCACTTCACTCAGTTCTTCCCTCTCCTCCTTCACTTCACTCAGATCTTCTCTCTCCTCCTCCACTTCACTCAGTTCTTCTCTCTCCTCCTCCTCTTCACTCAGTTCTTCTCTCTCCTCCTCCGCTTCACTCAGTTCTTCTCTCTCCTCCTCCACTTCACTCAGTTCTTCTCTCTCCTTCACTTCACTCAGTTCTTCACTCTCCTCCTTCACTTCACTCAGTTCTTCACTCTCCTCCTTCACTTCACTCAGTTCTTCCCTCTCCTCCTTCACTTCACTCAGATCTTCTCTCTCCTCCTCCACTTCACTCAGTTCTTCTCTCTCCTCCTCCTCTTCACTCAGTTCTTCTCTCTCCTCCTCCGCTTCACTCAGTTCTTCTCTCTCCTCCTTCACTTCACTCAGTTCTTCTCTCTCCTCCTCCACTTCACTCAGTTCTTCTCTCTCCTCCTTCGCTTCACTCAGTTCTTCTCTCTCCTCCTTCACTTCACTCAGTTCTTCTCTCTCCTCCTTCACTTCACTCAGTTCTTCTCTCTCCTCCTTCGCTTCACTCAGTTCTTCTCTCTCCTCCTTCGCTTCACTCAGTTCTTCTCTCTCCTCCTTCACTTCACTCAGTTCTTCTCTCTCCTCCTTCACTTCACTCAGTTCTTCTCTCTCCTTCACTTCACTCAGTTCTTCACTCTCCTCCTTCACTTCACTCAGTTCTTCTCTCTCCTCCTTCACTTCACTCAGTTCTTCTCTCTCCTTCACTTCACTCAGTTCTTCACTCTCCTCCTTCACTTCACTCAGTTCTTCACTCTCCTCCTCCACTTCACTCAGTTCTTCTCTCTCCTCCTTCACTTCACTCAGATCTTCTCTCTCCTCCTCCACTTCACTCAGTTCTTCACTCTCCTCCTTCGCTTCACTCAGTTCTTCTCTCTCCTCCTTCACTTCACTCAGTTCTTCTCTCTCCTCCTCCGCTTCACTCAGTTCTTCTCTCTCCTCCTTCGCTTCACTCAGTTCTTCTCTCTCCTCCTTCACTTCACTCAGTTCTTCTCTCTCCTCCTTCACTTCACTCAGTTCTTCTCTCTCCTCCTTCACTTCACTCAGTTCTTCTCTCTCCTCCTCCACTTCACTCAGTTCTTCTCTCTCCTCCTCCACTTCACTCAGTTCTTCTCTCTCCTCCTCCACTTCACTCAGTTCTTCTCTCTCCTCCTCCACTTCACTCAGTTCTTCTCTCTCCTCCTTCACTTCACTCAGTTCTTCTCTCTCCTCCTCCACTTCACTCAGTTCTTCACTCTCCTCCTTCGCTTCACTCAGTTCTTCTCTCTCCTCCTTCACTTCACTCAGTTCTTCTCTCTCCTCCTCCGCTTCACTCAGTTCTTCTCTCTCCTCCTTCGCTTCACTCAGTTCTTCTCTCTCCTCCTTCACTTCACTCAGTTCTTCTCTCTCCTCCTTCACTTCACTCAGTTCTTCTCTCTCCTCCTTCACTTCACTCAGTTCTTCTCTCTCCTCCTCCACTTCACTCAGTTCTTCTCTCTCCTCCTTCACTTCACTCAGTTCTTCTCTCTCCTCCTCCACTTCACTCAGTTCTTCTCTCTCCTCCTCCACTTCACTCAGTTCTTCTCTCTCCTCCTCCACTTCACTCAGTTCTTCTCTCTCCTCCTCCACTTCACTCAGTTCTTCTCTCTCCTCCTTCACTTCTCTCAGTTCTTCTCTCTCCTCCTTCGCTTCACTCAGTTCTTCTCTCTCCTCCTTCACTTCACTCAGTTCTTCTCTCTCCTCCTTCACTTCACTCAGTTCTTCTCTCTCCTCCTCCACTTCACTCAGTTCTTCACTCTCCTCCTCCACTTCACTCAGTGCTTCACTCTCCTCCTTCACTTCTCTGAGTTCTTCTCTCTCCTCCTTCACTTCTCTGAGTTCTTCTCTCTCCTCCTTCACTTCACTCAGTTCTTCTCTCTCCTCCTCCACTTCATTCAGTTCTTCTCTCTCCTCCTCCACTTCACTCAGTTCTTCTCTCTCCTCCTTCACTTCACTCAGTTCTTCTCTCTCCTCCTCCACTTCACTCAGTTCTTCTCTCTCCTCCTTCACTTCACTCAGTTCTTCACTCTCCTCGTCCACTTCACTCAGTTCTTCTCTCTCCTCCTTCACTTCACTCAGTTCTTCACTCTCCTCCTTCACTTCACTCAGTTCTTCTCTCTCCTCCTTCACTTCACTCAGTTCTTCACTCTCCTCGTCCACTTCACTCAGTTCTTCTCTCTCCTCCTTCACTTCACTCAGTTCTTCACTCTCCTCGTCCACTTCACTCAGTTCTTCTCTCTCCTCCTCCACTTCATTCAGTTCTTCTCTCTCCTCCTTCACTTCACTCAGTTCTTCACTCTCCTCCTCCACTTCACTCAGTTCTTCTCTCTCCTCCTCCGCTTCACTCAGTTCTTCACTCTCCTCCTCCACTTCACTCAGTTCTTCACTCTCCTCCTTCGCTTCACTCAGTTCTTCACTCTCCTCCTTCGCTTCACTCAGTTCTTCTCTCTCCTCCTTCACTTCACTCAGTTCTTCTCTCTCCTCCTCCACTTCACTCAGTTCTTCTCTCTCCTCCTTCACTTCACTCAGTTCTTCTCTCTCCTCCTCCACTTCACTCAGTTCTTCTCTCTCCTCCTCCGCTTCACTCAGTTCTTCACTCTCCTCCTCCACTTCACTCAGTTCTTCACTCTCCTCCTTCGCTTCACTCAGTTCTTCTCTCTCCTCCTTCACTTCACTCAGTTCTTCTCTCTCCTCCTTCACTTCACTCAGTTCTTCTCTCTCCTCCTCCACTTCACTCAGTTCTTCTCTCTCCTCCTTCACTTCACTCAGTTCTTCTCTCTCCTCCTCCACTTCACTCAGTTCTTCTCTCTCCTCCTCCTCTTCACTCAGTTCTTCTCTCTCCTCCTTCACTTCACTCAGTTCTTCTCTCTCCTCCTCCACTTCACTCAGTTCTTCTCTCTCCTCCTCCACTTCACTCAGTTCTTCACTCTCCTCCTTCGCTTCACTCAGTTCTTCACTCTCCTCCTCCACTTCACTCAGTTCTTCCCTCTCCTCCTTCACTTCACTCAGTTCTTCACTCTCCTCCTTCGCTTCACTCAGTTCTTCACTCTCCTCCTTCGCTTCACTCAGTTCTTCTCTCTCCTCCTTCACTTCACTCAGTTCTTCTCTCTCCTCCTTCACTTCACTCAGTTCTTCTCTCTCCTCCTTCACTTCACTCAGTTCTTCTCTCTCCTCCTTCACTTCACTCAGTTCTTCTCTCTCCTCCTTCACTTCACTCAGTTCTTCTCTCTCCTCCTCCACTTCACTCAGTTCTTCTCTCTCCTCCTCCTCTTCACTCAGTTCTTCTCTCTCCTCCTTCACTTCACTCAGTTCTTCTCTCTCCTCCTCCACTTCACTCAGTTCTTCTCTCTCCTCCTCCACTTCACTCAGTTCTTCTCTCTCCTCCTCCACTTCACTCAGTTCTTCACTCTCCTCCTCCACTTCACTCAGTTCTTCACTCTCCTCCTTCACTTCACTCAGTTCTTCTCTCTCCTCCTCCACTTCACTCAGTTCTTCACTCTCCTCCTCCACTTCACTCAGTTCTTCACTCTCCTCCTTCACTTCACTCAGTTCTTCACTCTCCTCCTCCACTTCACTCAGTTCTTCTCTCTCCTCCTTCACTTCACTCAGTTCTTCTCTCTCCTCCTTCACTTCACTCAGTTCTTCTCTCTCCTCCTCCACTTCACTCAGTTCTTCACTCTCCTCCTCCACTTCACTCAGTTCTTCACTCTCCTCCTCCACTTCACTCAGTTCTTCTCTCTCCTCCTTCACTTCACTCAGTTCTTCTCTCTCCTCCTTCACTTCACTCAGTTCTTCTCTCTCCTCCTTCACTTCACTCAGTTCTTCTCTCTCCTCCTCCACTTCACTCAGTTCTTCTCTCTCCTCCTCCACTTCACTCAGTTCTTCACTCTCCTCCTCCACTTCACTCAGTTCTTCTCTCTCCTCCTTCACTTCACTCAGTTCTTCTCTCTCCTCCTTCACTTCACTCAGTTCTTCTCTCTCCTCCTTCACTTCACTCAGTTCTTCACTCTCCTCCTCCACTTCACTCAGTTCTTCACTCTCCTCCTTCACTTCACTCAGTTCTTCACTCTCCTCCTCCACTTCACTCAGTTCTTCTCTCTCCTCCTTCACTTCACTCAGTTCTTCTCTCTCCTCCTTCACTTCACTCAGTTCTTCTCTCTCCTCCTCCACTTCACTCAGTTCTTCACTCTCCTCCTCCACTTCACTCAGTTCTTCACTCTCCTCCTCCACTTCACTCAGTTCTTCTCTCTCCTCCTTCACTTCACTCAGTTCTTCTCTCTCCTCCTTCACTTCACTCAGTTCTTCTCTCTCCTCCTTCACTTCACTCAGTTCTTCTCTCTCCTCCTCCACTTCACTCAGTTCTTCTCTCTCCTCCTCCACTTCACTCAGTTCTTCCCTCTCCTCCTTCACTTCACTCAATTCTTCTCTCTCCTCCTCCACTTCACTCAGTTCTTCTCTCTCCTCCTTCACTTCACTCAGTTCTTCTCTCTCCTCCTTCACTTCACTCAGTTCTTCTCTCTCCTCCTCCACTTCACTCAGTTCTTCTCTCTCCTCCTTCACTTCCATCAGTTCTTCTCTCTCCTCCTCCACTTCACTCAGTTCTTCTCTCTCCTCCTCCACTTCACTCAGTTCTTCTCTCTCCTTCTTCACTCTCCTCCTCCACTTCACTCAGTTCTTCTCTCTCCTCCTTCACTTCACTCAGTTCTTCTCTCTCCTCCTTCACTTCACTCAGTTCTTCTCTCTCCTCCTCCACTTCACTCAGTTCTTCTCTCTCCTCCTTCACTTCCATCAGTTCTTCTCTCTCCTCCTTCACTTCACTCAGTTCTTCACTCTCCTCCTCCACTTCACTCAGTTCTTCTCTCTCCTCCTCCACTTCACTCAGTTCTTCTCTCTCCTCCTCCACTTCACTCAGTTCTTCTCTCTCCTCCTCCACTTCACTCAGTTCTTCTCTCTCCTCCTTCACTTCCATCAGTTCTTCTCTCTCCTCCTTCACTTCACTCAGTTCTTCACTCTCCTCCTCCACTTCACTCAGTTCTTCTCTCTCCTCCTCCACTTCACTCAGTTCTTCTCTCTCCTCCTCCACTTCACTCAGTTCTTCTCTCTCCTCCTTCACTTCATTCAGTTCTTCTCTCTCCTCCTTCACTTCACTCAGTTCTTCTCTCTCCTCCTTCACTTCACTCAGTTCTTCTCTCTCCTCCTTCACTTCACTCAGTTCTTCTCTCTCCTCCTTCACTTTTCTCAGTTCTTCGCTCTCCATTTCCATCAGGTCTGAAATGAAAGAAACTAATTTTTTTTTAAATCAAAATAATTAAAAGAGATACATACGACTACATAAGACAACAAAGAATACATAGATTAATGAAAAGAAAAGAAAGAAAGAGAAGATCAAAGAATGGCAAATATCACAAACAGTTAACCTTAAGGCAGGGGCAATCGTAAATGGATTTTTCACCCCAAAATTAAAATTCTGTCAGTAATTATTAATAATTAGTAATTATAGGCTTTATGCGCGATCGATCAAAAACTTCCTGCGGTTAACATGAATGATGTTAACAACACTGTGGGGCAGTTAGCTGTCACACATAAGAGTAAAAAAGAGAAGGGCTTTAAATTTTCTATTTCAAGCTACATCGACAACTTTGAGGGTGAGTATTCTCTCATATCTTCCTAAATCAGTTTCTAAAATCGTTGTCTCCGTTTCTGAGAAAATTAATTTTATTAAAGTTTTTCCGCTGTACAATTTGCCTGCGGAACGTGCAATGCGGAAGTAAAGAAGCTGGCTGAGATCCTACCGGACGTACGTCAGCAGGGTTCGTGCCTAGAGCCTATTACTCGCCCTCATGTTGTTCCATCCCCATAAGACATTCGTTCATCTTCAGAACTCAAAGAAATATGTTTTGGATTAAATCTGAGTGCTGGATCACTCCTCCATAGGCTGGAAGGGACTGAAACTTGTTCCCCGAAAAGTTATTAAAGTCCAAGTGACTACAGTGGCTCAATCCTAAGTTTACCAAGCGACGAGAATACTTTTTGAGCGCAAAAAACCAGCAACAAAAATAACGACTTTATTTCAACTATTAATTTCCTTCTCGGTGGGCCTTGAGTCAGTTCAATAGTGTAATAGCATAAGCTTCTGTTGTTGTACGTCACACGCATCACACACATGACCGGCGTCGGCCAATAGTCAGACTACATGTGACGTATCACTACGCTATCACACTACGTTAACTGACTAGAGGCCCACAGAGAAGGAAATGAACAGTTAAATAAAGTCATTATTTTGGGGGTTTTTGCACACAAAGTGTAGGAGCCAAATGTGGTGTTTGTGCATTTTGATATTGGGTGTTGTTCCTTGTTTGTACAGTGGGTGTCACTCTAATATCACCTGGGGTCAAAGGTATAAAGGAAGGATCCAAACTGCCAACAGGGAGGGGTTTTGTCCCGGAAGGGCAAAGGGTTTTTGACCGCTATGGCGCATTGGTGCTGAAAACGTATTGTTGACATTCTATTGTATGTATTATGGATATGGTTTACCGTTGAAACTGGATAAATGGACTTTTACCTCTGCACGGTCAAACAAATAAACTGAATAATCAGCAACAACGTCTGGAGACTCTTAAGAACGATACAGTAGGGTAATAGAATAACAATGGTACAGCGCGTCAGCCAGGGCACTCCTGGGCTAAACCACCTCAGTAGCCGTCAGTATTAGACTGAGCGGTTACAATATAGTCAAAAACCTGGCTCATTTGGAACTTCGCGTGAATCGGACCATGTGGGACGCAACAAGATTGCATAAGAGGACGAGCTGCCTTGTTGGCCTAAGGATTAAAGCTACGCTGGCGGATGCAGTCAGCTGTTGTGTAGCGGATTATCGGAGCATCGCAAGGCGCCCAACGCAAGAGGTATGTGTAGTGCTACACTTTTTGGGCATTTAAATTGTGTGCACACATAAAAGGGCATAAACCCAATGCATTGGTTGCCATATAAGGCAGACAATAGACTTTTCCTATGGAAGCATATGGGTAGCAATATTCAATTTGAAATGTAATATGCAAAATGACAATGCAATATGTAAAATGGCATTGCATTCTGTATTTAAATTTACATTTTACATTACCATTCTAGCAACGTTTGGTGCAAAATGAAAAGGCAAATGTAAATTATGTAATTTCAATTTCATACACTAGTTTTAATATGCATATTGAAACGCTTTATAAGTTGCAAAATT